GTTCTCGACCTTGCTTGCCCTTTGCACCCCTTTCACCATTTGTCAGAATGCCATTCCCCTATCCCCCCCCCTTTTCAAGGTACAGGCCAGATAGGCCAAATTCTTTAATTGCTCTCCTCCCCACTAAACTAATTCACCCTGGAAAATCCAAAATTCCCCTCTGTTGAGAACTCTTGGTTTAGTTGATTTCATTTACATAGTTTCTACTTCATGTTTTTATCACTTTTGTTATTGAATATCTCACATTGTGATAACAGAAGATCTGCCAAGAATGGGGACACATTGTAAAAATCTGGATGTAAATTTACTGTGAATGATCTAGCAATTAAAGCACTTTCTATATATTTTGTCTTAATATATTGCCTTCTCTTTTAATTAAAGTAGCATTTTTTTTTTTTTTAAATCAAAATTATGATCAAACTCTTTACAGTGAGCAACTAATGTATTGAGTATGTTGTTTTATAAAAGATACCTTTTATGTTCATATAATCTTTTATTTAAATTCCTTGCAGTTTCTCTGATGTATTCATAGATTTTCCTAAAATTGTTCTCATATAAAAATCTATTTATTGTTTTCCCCATGTAGGCGTGTTCCTATGTTGAAGAGTAATATTATTTTGTATATGCATATTTTATGATTCTGTGCTTAATCCCACAAAAAAATAATACATATTATATATATATATATATATATATATATATATATATATATATATGTGTGTGTGTGTGTGTATATATATATATATATATATATATATATATATATAAATAAATAAATTGGAGTCATTATTTGTTGAAGCACCTTTTGATAATAATCATAAACAAACTTTTATTTTTGATAATGATTTTCTCTTTTCATACAAGGTAACATTTTCTTTTTTAATAATTTCACCCCAAGCAAGGTTATAAAGCCACTAAGATGCAAGGAGGTTACTGGAAGTGAAAGAGAATGAGACTTTAGCAATGAGAAAGGACAATAAAAAAACAGGTTTCAGGAAAATAGAAGATGGTGATTGGTATTGTATTTATATTTTTGAAGATTGTAGGTGGCAGAGAAGTAAAAAAACCAGTAAAAAAGTTCAACAAGCCGGGAAAAGAAACTATTAAAACAGAAATTTCAACAGTAAAATAATGAGTTCTAATAGCCAATCTAGTAGTATGCTTAAATTCACAGTCAAGATACCAAGGAGGAGAGCTCATTAGAAGAAGTGCCATGAAAATTTTTATAGAAAAGACAGAGGGATGCCACGTCATGGCAATAGGAATGTGACTGAAGCTGAGATGCCGGATCAGGATTGATAACATTACAGATGCTTTGGAATTTGTCAAGTATCTGAAGACCTATAAGCAGAGTAACAGAACAGATATGGCAGCAATATTCAAGGCACAGATGATTTGTAGACTTATAAATGGGCAAGATGGATTCTGCCAAGAAAGACTGTCTAGCACAACACAGCAACAGTAGATGGTGATTGATGTTGCATTTAAATTTTTGAAGAAAATTGGAAGAAAGTTCCACAGATAAGAAAAGAAACTATTAAAAGAACTTATGGTTACATTTTGCTAATTCAAACATAAAACAATGAGACCTAATAGCCAATCCAGTAGTATGCTTAAATTCACACAGTTGCTGTACCACTAGAAGAAGTGCTTTGAAAATTTTTATAAAAAATTCCCCAAGCCTTCTTCCCCCATTATGTGCCCTAAAAATTTCAATTGTCTCTAAGTGTCTTCTTGTTTCCATTATCCCTAAAAAATTTGTTTTTAATCACATATCTCAGCATCCTTCTGTAGAACCACATTTCTATTGTCTCAAGTCTCTCTTCATTTGTAATTAGATTGTCCAGCATTCACTGCTGAGATGAGGGTTAATATTACATTGCAATTTAGTACTCTTTTTCTTTCTCCCTCACAAACTTTTCCTGTTAAGTAATCTATTTACTGTATTTAGAACCAACTTCAGTGGAACAGATCCTTCAGCTTGTATATCACAATATATATATATATATATATATATATATATATATATAAGTGGACACTGAAGTCAACACCCAGCAGCAACAATCTGTTTCATGTTTATATGAAATTGCCACGCCCACCTATTGCATATAAGCATGAAACATACTATCACCACTAGGTGTTGACTTTAATGTCTACTTTTATATTTACATACGCTCTATCCCTGATACTGAACACTTCAACCCATAAACATAGTGTACCTTAAAATTATATATATATATATATATATGTGTGTGTGTGTGTGTGTGTGGCCTGAAGATTGTGTTTAAGCATGGAACAGACAGTCACCAATGGGTGTTGACGTCAATGTCCAACAACATTTTATATAAGGTCACATATCTGGTTGACCAATATATCTTCCACCAAAATCAAATGCTTAGGTTTCATTGCCTACTTGATGAAACTCAGATTGTTGATTACAGAAAAGAGGAAATATATTCAGAGATCTTATGGATCAGGCATTTTTACACTATAATGGAAAAACCAACAGAGCCTGTTGGCATCATGAGATACTGCCAGGACAGACTGAGTTCATGGTCATGTTGCTTCATCCTTGAAACTATATCTGACCCCAAACCTCAATCCAGATCATCAGTTGTTGAAGACTTTGTTAGAAGCACTGCAGTTGTTTTGGCAGCAATAGTTATGCAAATTTATTATGTAAGGACGCTAATATATGATGTAGGTTACTGATTTCCATTATAACAATAATAAGCTTAGGACAAATGGAAATTCTGTAGTTGTAGTAATCAAAATAATAGCAGTGATATAGATTTTGGCAAGACAGAGTAAAATACATTCATTCTGAATTATGTTTTCTTGTGTCCATTGTATTCCATGACTGAAATAACAATAGATAACTGGAAAACACACAGCACTGATGATGAAGAAAAGAACTGAAAGAAATGAAAGACCAATGTGATTAATAAGTCAAGAAAAACATACAAATCATTATCATCATTATAATAAAAGCATCAGCATTCTTAAAACTGAGAAAAGTAAAGTGGACACAGGCTAATCCAGAGGTTTAAAAAAAACAAAAAAAAAAAACATCATTTTTGATGAGAAAAAGAAATTATTCTTAGTTATGCCTTGGAAATTGTATAACTTAAAAGAAAATTAAATTTACATTTACTTAGCAAGACTAATATCTTCATCTTTATTGTTATTATCACAATGTTAATGTTTCATCTGGATTGTGCAGGGTTGAGGATATTCGTTTAACTGTAAATAATATAAATCATCTCAGAAATTCAGACAAAAGGAAAACAAATATTAAAATGCCACAATCTTGTTAAAACACTAACTTATGATAAATAAAACTAATAATATCAAGTTATCTCAATTTGGGGATAGGTAGATGAACAGACTATCATGCTTTCCTGGGCCTTGGTGATGATGGATGATTTTATTGGGAGGAGGACTGTAACTTGGTTTCCGGGTCATAACAATAAATTCAGGTCTCATCACCAATGATGATAGTCTTCATGATGTCTGGGTCATAGTTTGCATCGTTCAGCATGTCCTGAGCCATTTCCATGCAGAGTTTCTTTTTCTGTCCTGCCAGCACCTTGAGGATGAATTTTGTCGACACTCTTCACATGTATAGATCCTCCATTAAAATGGAATACACTGATCCTGTGCATATTCCCCATTTCGTGAGCAATTTCCTGGATTGTTACACGGTGGTTTTCCAAAACTTTTTGTCAAACCTTCTCACTCAGCTTCTCATTTAGGTTTGTGGATGGCCTGCCTGAGTATGCCTTGCTCTTCACCGAGGTACAGCCATGTTTGAAACAATTATACCACTCCTTGATCCAAGTTTTTCTCTTGGCATCATCACTAAAGTCCTGCTGAATCTTCTGGATGATTTGAGATTGAGTATTACCAAGCTTTTATCAAAACTTGATCCAATATCTCTGCTCGATGCATTCAGTCGACTTGAGTGAAAACATGTTTGTACTTTAGGCATAATGAGCAAGAAATGATATGGCCCATCAGTGAAAAAATTTTCATGCATACACAGAGAGAGTAGTATCACCTCCCATCCAAAGGATTTCACCCACTCAGCATTAGTTTTCTCAGAAGAAAATAGTCAGATAATTTTTGAACACACCTGGTACATTAAAATTATTCCTAATATAATTGCTGAAAGATTGTTGATAAGGAAAACTAGAAATTAAATAGTATTTTATAATGAATAGCCATAGGAAATTCCCAAGATCTTAGGAAAATTAAATCTTAGAGAATATGAAATAATAAATTACTTAAATGGGGTTGGAGATTGATGAAAACAAATTCTCGGAAAAAAAATTCAACAGTACATTAAAAACCAAACATTACTGATGAAAAAAAAAGTCATCCCAAATTGTGCTTCTATCTATAAATATCCTGGGAAGAGAAAAATTTTAAAAATTAGAGAGAATAAAAGTAGAAATTTTGAAAACTATTAAAACACTTGCAGATTTATTTAAAAGCATTGGCATAACAGATGCTAACATTCAGGAGAATGACTCCTTGCACCTTCTCAGACTAATGTTTCCCACTGACATGAATTGGAAATATTATATTGAATCAATTACTAGATCTACTGCTAGGAAAGTTGGTTCCTGGTGCCATGCTAGACAATTTATATCACCAGAATCTATCTTACATATTTATAAGTCTACAATTCATCCATGCTTTGGATATTGCTGAGATACCTGGTCAGATTCTTCTGCTGTGTATTTAGAAATTCTTGATAAAATACAAAGAAAAATATGCAATCTTATTGGTCCTGACCTGGCATCTTGGATTCAGTCACTTTCCCACCACCATAACAGCTTCCTTCTGCCTTTTTCTATAAGTATTTGCATGACAATTGTTCTGATGAGTTTTCCTCCTTGGTACCGAGACATTATGAATCAAAGCATACTACAAGATTGTTGGAAAGGTCTGATTTCTAGTTCTGAGCCATTATACCACCCACACATCCAAGCTTATAGTACCTGGTATTCCCAAGTGGTTACCCATCTAGGTACTGACCAAGCGTGATGTTGCTTTACTTCAGTGATCGTAAAAAAACTGGTGTGGCATCATGATATGGCTGTAAACCTAAATAACATGGAAAAGGTTAATGTCTAATAAAATAAAATTAATTCTTTTGCTACAGTAACAGTTTTTCTTGGCTAAGTCATTATTGATAAAAAAAAAACATGCAATTTAATAAGTAATAGAAGTCATAACAGGGTATAGTGAGAACTTCTCTAAAAATTTTCATGTACCCCAGTCTAGTTTGATAATTTTAGAAAATATATCAGTTTTAGAGTAACTCATCCTGATATCTGCTCATATTGAAAGACTTAATCCCTTTTCTTTCTTTTTTTTTTAATCATTTTACCCCAAGCAAGGCAATAATGCCACTATGGCACAAGGAGTTACTGGGAATGAAAGAGAGTGAGAAGACTATAGTGAGGAGAGAGGACAATAAAAAACAGGAAGATGGCAATTGATGTTTCATTTAAAATTTTGAAGAACTCCGGTAGCTGGGAAATGAAAAATCAGAAATGCAAAGAAACTATTAGAATAGAACTGATTTAAAAGAATTGAGTAACTGATTTCTTGCATGAATATAGAGTAAAAACCCTAGTGTGTTGTTGTTATTGATCTACAGGGTGGTCTGAAAGTCTCGTCTCCCCTACATGATATAATATTCTATTTCAGACGGATGACACAAGCTTCTACAGTTTAGAAGAGAGGTAGGGGGTAACAAGACTTTCGGACCACTTTGTACAATCAAATTCAATTTAGCCAATCTGAATATTTGATTAACAAAACAAAGTGCTAGTCTACCCAAACCCCCACCCACCCACTTCAATAAAGAAAAATGCAAATTATTACCACTTGTGAAATGAATAAAAATAAACATGACATGGATACCCAAGTTAACTGCAGTTTTAATTTTTATTCGAGGAAACTTTGTCAGCTCTTGTTATTTTGACAAGTATTTACTTTCATCTTAATTTTTATAGTTACTGTTTTATACTCACCAATTTACTTTGGCTTTTAATTGATGGCAGTGAGTAAACATCATGGAATAAGAAACAAATCACAACTTCCCGGTAAGAATCTCACATGTCACTTTTGTCTTAAGACCTTTGATCCTGTGCTGTCTGCACATGACTGTAAATTTACAGCCTGAGTAGATGCTAGAACAAAAATCAATTGCACTTGGAAAATTTGCAACTGACTGAAGGACAATACTGATTTGGATTTGAGTAACGGCCTGACAATTGTGTCTAGGCATGAAACAGCCTATCTGCAGGCTGTGTAACTGTTATTGACATAGAGGAATTGGTGAGCCATCCAAATCCCAGTCTAAATTTGTGTTCATGTTTGCACTAATGCCCTTGGGAAAGGCAATAATTCATTTCTTCTTCATCCTGCACCATGGATTAAATAGCAGGACAGACTGGGTTCTCTAGCCTCGAGTGGCAACCAATCTAGAACAACTCTGAATTCAAAAACATAAAGAAGCAGATTCTGTGGAATCATGATTGCTTGCATCCTGAACGGTACATGGTATTTTTTTTAAAATATCTATACTAGGAGGTAGTAGATAAAGATACTTTGATAAAATTGTTAAAATCTCATACTAATAATATCATTCACACTAGTGCACTATCTGTATCCAAACTTTTGACCATATTGCATGCTGAATTGTTTTTTTTACAGTTTATCAACATTTTGAAAGTTATCTAAAAGTAAAAAATATTTTTAAATTTCAATAATTTTGGGGGTATAATAATGATTTACTGATACAAGTCCCACTAATTAACCCATAGATGGGGGAGAAGTGGATTCAAAACTTTCTGAAGGTGCATGTGAATATGACTAACCCAACTGGAATTGGAACTCCAATGTCTAATTTTCAATTCCAAGTCATTATCCATTACACCACTCCATATCCAAGCTTACAGCAACAGTATCCACAAGCAGTTACCCATCTAGATACTGACCAAGCTCAACATTGTTTAACTTTGGTGTCATATGGGAACTGGTGTTTCAATATAACTAATTCGTTGTTGAAATAAGGTTCAGTGTAGTGAATGAGTCCAGTGTAAGCAGGTGTTATTCCATCAGAGACATCTACATACTTTAGTTCAGTTAGAACTGTTTGAGGTGTTGAACTTTGAGAGCCTTAGAAAGACTTTTGAAGAATGTCCTGTTGAACATGATGTTTTCAGAGGAGATTCCACATTGCAACAATGGTAAAAGGAACATTCTTATATCTGTAGACAGATTCTAGATGGCCACATAGTACAGGCAATCACCAAAGAATGGCATATTCTAGGATCAACAGTAGCAGACTGCACAGCATTCACAGTACACATGAGAGCCAATGTGGCCCCAGGCATGTCAGCACAGACTGTTCATGATTGTTGACTTGCAGTAGAACTCTAAGAATGTGTGCTGCTACCAAAACTTCTATTTATGCAACACCACAATTATCAGGCTCACATGATGCATGAAATCAGGACTTGTAATAAGAAAACTTTCTGTCTTCATGTAAGTAATGGACTGTTTTGCGTAATATAGATCTGGGAAGTAATATCTTTCAAATGATATTTATCAAAGTTAAGCAGATTTTATTAACTTAAGCATGGTACAAGATTGGCAGTAAGGTCTCATCATTTTACAGTTGAAATGGTTCAATGTAACCGGAAGTTCTATGTTAACAGTTTCTTCTATTGCACTTCTTACTTGTGGAACTCTCTTCTGGCTTCCAAGTCAATTTTTATCTTCAAAAATTTAAATGCAATGTCAATTGTTATCTTCTGTCTTCTTAATTCTTATTCTTTTATTGTCTTCTCTCTTTAACAGTATATTTTTCTCATATTGTCAACACTCAGTAACCCCATGCGTCTTAGTGGCTTTATTGCTTTGCTTGCGGTGAAATTATTTTTAAAGAACAAAAGACACAATATCTCTTTAGCAGGATTTCTCAATAACATTTATAGTAAAAAGAAAAATTTTTTATAAGTGAACATTGAATACAATGCTCTGAGTGTTGACTTCAATGTTCACTTTCATATTTACATAAGCTCTATCTCTGATATTGAGTACTTTATCCCATAAATATAGCACACCTTAAAACTATATATATATATATATATATATATATATATATATATATATATATATATATATATATATACACACACACACACTGGACTCTCCGTCAGTTTTTTTTCCTCCCCAACATATAAGGGTAAAGCAACTCAGTTCCTAGGAACTGACAGCCAAACAAGTGCACATATGATTTGATTATAATGGTGAAGGCTTTGTGCAGAACCAACCAAACTTTTTGAAGAGCTGAATACAGAGATCTGGTATACAACATGCCACAAGGTTCCCAAACAACCCTCCACAGGTTTTGAATTCAGAGTTGTCCTTCTCCTAGACTAGTTGCCATCCAAGGCTATAGAACCCAATCTATCCTGCTATTTACCCTGAGCTGAGGAAGGGAGGATTCATACCTTTCCCCAAGGGCATTAGCATGTAAGTGAATGTAATGGATTCGACTGGAATTTGAACTCCACTCTCTGATTCTTCCGCCTGAGCCACTATCCATTACACCACCGTACTTCCTTATATATCTCTTTGTCAAATATTAACTGATTCATGAATTAAACCTTTTGAAATGCATATATCAATTTTAGCCAAGACTGCCTATAAATTTACATTCAATTGTTTGCTTGTTTTCTTGTATTTTGTCATTCTTTGTGATGTTTCGGTTGTAAAGAAGTTCTTATTAACGTAATGTGCAAAGCAATTGAAATGAAAGTGTGTTTGTCAATACCAGTTAACAAGAGTCAATACAGAGTGGAAAGCGAAATTAATCATCAGCCAGCAGGGAACAAAGAAAAATACACTGTGAAAATAGTAACAACTTTAAAGGCAGAACTTAAGTGAGCTTGTTGAACTTGTTGAGACAAGGAGATCTAAATGGGATGAAAGGAGAAGTAGAGAAAAAAAACTAATGATTGGTTAACCTTTCTATTATTCAGTCTTTCTTGCCTAATCATGGCTCTCCACAATTTACTGACCTTTGTAGCTCTTAGTAAATTTTGCCTTTTAGTTATCTCTTCAAAACCCTGTTCTGCCAACATTAACATATGCTCATTAGGTAGGTTAGGTAATGTTTCCCTCTCTCCCTCTTGCTTTCAATATGTCTTGGGAGTATCAAATTTTCCAAGCCCTCTTTCCTCATTATGTGCCCCAGAAATTTTAACTATCTCTTTCTGATGCTAATTATAAGTGTTCTTTTTGTTTCCATTTTTTCTAAAACTTTGTTGTTGCTCACATGTTCAGTCCTTGGCATTCTCAGCATCCTTCAGGTAGAACCTCATTTCTGTTGCCTCAAGTTTCTTCTTCATCTGTGAGTTATTGTCCAGCCTTCACTGTCATATAAGAGGATGGACATTACATTGCAGTTCAGAACTATTTTCTTTGTTTCTAATAAAATTTTTCTGTTTCTTAATACTTTGCATAGTTTTTGGAAGGCATTTTTCACTATATCAGTGTGCTTTTTGATTTTAGTGTTGTATTTTCTGTCTTCTGTTAAAACACTTCCCAGATATTTTTAATTGCTGTACTTGTTTGATTTTGGTATCTCCAATTTTTACTTTGCATGTTGGGCTGTTCCCTTTTGCTGACAATCATGCATTCCATCTTTTCACAATTGATGTTTAATCCTTTCTTCTTGCTTTCCTTCATTAGGGTGTCTCTTCCCAATGTTAACAGCTGTAACTCGAGAAATTTGTCAGTAGTTGGTTTCTCAAAGTTCTTGCTATACATTTAAATAAATGATACATCTCTCATATACTCTGGCCCACAAAACAAAACATCACCAATGATGTGTACCAAAACATCTGAGAGATGTATTTCATAAAATGCCAAGAAGACTATATGAAAGGAAACAATCATTAATATCAAGTGTTTAAAAAAATAAATAAAAGTTATAATATATAAATTGCTTATCCTTTTCATTTAACTTAAAAAAATATTAAATATTTACTAAGGTAAATTTAAAAAGTTGGTGACAAGAT